CACGGCTCCAGACCCAGACGGAGCCACTCCAGACCCAGACGGAGCCACTCCAGACCCAGACGGAGCCACTCCAGACCCAGACGGAGCCACTCCAGACCCAGACGGAGCCACTCCAGACCCAGACGGAGCCACTCCAGACCCAGACGGAGCCACTCCAGACCCAGACGGAGCCACTCCAGACCCAGACGGAGCCACTCCAGACCCAGACGGAGCCACTCCAGGAATCCTTATCGGAGAAACGTCATCCCGACCCCCTGCCGCTTGGATGGTCCCGACTGTCTCATCACAGCGGGCCTTCTTGGCCGCCTCCGCTCTAGAACTCTCGGCCACCGCCTCCCGCTGACGCTTCGAGAGGAGCGAGCTACTCGGGGATAGCAGAGGCGCCCCCATTTGCCCGATTGTCGGACTCTGAACCGAAGCTCGAACATCGGGAACCTCAAATTCGCCACCAGCATCGAAGCTCTCACAGTCATCCACTGGATCCTCCGAGAACAACTCCCTAGCGGTTTGGTGGCCCCTTCTCTTTGAAGAACGGAGAGAGCCCCTGATGGGACGATCGCGTTCCGCCAGACATGAGCTTTGGAACCAGAAGTTGGCAGGGTCAGCACTAGCACCCCGATACCACCGACAGTACAAGAGCGTGTGGTGTAAATCGCGGTCCTTCGCAGGCAACTCAAAACGAGCTTGAGTACCTCCAGCATGGGTCCAGAACCACCCCCGAGCGCCGTCAACCAGTCCTCCTTCGAAGTGTAGGCGAGGGTTGGCGTTGCCCACATACAATTGATCATACCCAAACTGGCGGGCAAACCTGCAAGGGATGTATGGCTCGAGATAGCATGTGGAGCCTGTTCTCAGAACGTGATACCCCGGTCGAATGTCCACCAACCAGCGAAAGGCACCACGGGTGAGGACTGTGTGGTGATCCGCCGTCGGCGCATCCCTGAGAGATTCTCCGTATCCACCCCCGCTGAAGTAAGGAAAGGATCGACGAAAATTATAGTGCCCGAAGTGGGAGAGCGTCTTCCTCGTATCGGGGATGTCCTTGCACTTCCAAGAGCACCTCTCCAAACGCTGGACGAAGGGAACAAACTTGTCCCTCTGAAGCCGTCGGCGCATCCCTGAGAGATTCTCCATATCCACCCCCGCTGAAGTAAGGGAAGGATCGACGAAAATTATAGTGCCCGAAGTGGGAGAGCGTCTTCCTCGTATCGGGGATGTCCTTGCACTTCCAAGAGCACCTCTCCAAACGCTGGACGAAGGGAACAAACTTGTCCCTCTGAAGCGCTGCCGGGGCACTCATCAAGCATTCGCAGTGATAGACGAACCATGCCACCAAGTAGGTATACGGTAGCCCCACCCTAGGATTGGGGGTTCTGATAACTTCTCCTTCCCCCTCGTCGAGGACCGACACACGGCAGAATTGGCTCGTCAGAGTACGGAGCCCCCGATGGATGCACGCTATCGTCGCCGATACCAGGGAATAAGACTTCCCGTGGGCCAGGCAAACCGCCGGATACACGACCTCCATAGGAAGAGACTCGAAAGAGTGAGTGGGGATTACGCACCTCTTCAGCCATAACATGAGGTACCCCACGAGCAGCGCCTTCCCCGAAATGAGAAATTTCGCCTGATGATGGAATGAGTGAAGGACCGTACCAGCCTTAAATCCGCCCTCGTCGCGGTCAAGAGTGATGGTGCTTCCTTCTCTAGCTGTCCTCGCCTCCACTTCGGGCTGGTCGCACGCGCCTAACGGGAGAGCGGGCTTCCCCTTGACATCGTTCCCAGGGAACAGATAATCAGCCCAATTCTTGTGGCTAATCCCTGGGGTCTTCTTCCTCTTCCCCTTATGATCCGAGGCCCCTAAGGTACTGAGGCATATGTGGAAGTGACAGAGTAACTCCCACAAAGTTTCAACCGCCAGGGGGGAGTTGTCCGATAGCTGATCGATCTCATCTTGATCAGGGACGTATTCCTCATAAGGGAAGTCTCCCAGAGGTAGCCCTGACACGTCGTTCATCTCGAAGGGGGTGATACCAAGTTCACCATTGGGGGTGAAAAATGTGCCGCTTTCCGCACAATACAATTCCAGAATGCTATGGAATTGAGAAGCGGGCTCTAAAGTCCTTCGGGGGAAAGCTCCCACCAGCTCGAAAGAAGCGGTGATGGAAGGTCTCCGCCACCGCTGTCGACTCCCCTACGGGCGGTTCAACAGACACTAAGCCAGGGCGCAGACCCGTCACGCGCTTACATGAGCTCTCCACTCCATACCCAGCCGTAGAGCCCGTAAAGACGCCACAAGTGACCCCGTCCTGAGTGGGGGTCAAATCCCAGTTCATCGTCCGAGGGATCGCGAGGGACCGCAGCTCAACAATCGAAAACCCTCTCGACATGCTGGGGAGGTAGTAATGGGTCCCCTCTACCGTGCGGTACCACCGGCTCTCTTTGAGCAACAGGGCGGAAGGGTCGGTCATGGAGTCGCCAAACAAAAATTGAGGTTTCGGCAGCTCTGCCCTGGCCTCATCTGTCAGCGCCGCGTTGGTTGTCAGCTCGCGTAGGGTCAAATGATGACCATCCGAGACCCTCTGTATCAGACCATGCGGCTTATCAGCGGTGAACACGGGTACTGGAGCCAAAGAGGGAAACCGAGAAGGTGCTGCGTAGCTCGTAGCCCCGACGTGGCCGACGGCCACACCCTCTGGAAAAGCCTCATCGGAAAAGGTCGCTGCAAGAAAAAGAAAAGAAGAAGGTCAATCAAGACAAAATCCGCTGTAGGGGCAAAATCGCCCATCAAACAGAGGAGGGCGAAATCGCAAGGAGGAACCCACTTCGAATAAAGTCTGCCCCTACAGACTAGACGTCCCTCTAACAGGAAAGGGCCGGACTCGCCTTACAAAAAGGGAGTTCGCCTCCTTCCCGCTGAAGGGCTCGCCCGCGGAGACAGTAATCGTCTTCTAAGGGCAAACAGGGCAAACTTTGCCCCAAATCGGGAAGGCTACCAAGCTTAACGAGCAACGCTCATCTCCCCAAAACCGACGCCTAAGACCTACAAGAGATCGTCCAGCAAACCCATCAACGTACCTGGGCGCGACTCCATAGCACCGCAGGCATGCCGGCAGAGAGACGGTCGGAGTAACGTCCGGGGCCTGCACCCCTCACTTTACACCTCTTAGGTTTCGGAGCCATTGTAAGAGGAAGCGGGAATTCTTTCT